GTGTGTGTGTGTGTGTGTGTGTGTGTGTGTGTGTGTGTGTGTGTGTGTGTGTGTGTGTGTGTGTTGTGTGTGTGCGGGTGTGTTTGTGTGTGTGTGGGTGTGTGTGTGTGTGTGTGTGTGTGTGTGTGTGTGTGTGTGTTTGTGCGGGTTGTGCGGGTGCGTGTAAGTGTGGGTGTTTGTGTGGGTGTGGGTGTGGGTGGGTGTGGGTGGGTGTGGGTGGGTGGGTGGGTGTGGGTGGGTGTGGTTGGGTGGGGTGGGTGTGGGTGGGTGGGTGTGGGGTGGGTGGGTGTGTGGGTGTGTGTGTGTGTTTGTGTGTGTGTGTGTGTTTTTGTGCGGGTGCGTGTACGTGTGGGTGTTTGTGTGGGTGTGGGTGTGGGTGGGTGTGGGTGGGTGTGGGTGGGTGTGGGTGGGTGTGGGTGGGTGTGGGTGGGTGTGGGTGGGTGGGTGGGTGGGTGGGTGGGTGGGTGGGTAGGTGTGTGTGTGTGTGTGTGTATCTGTCTGCATATGTATCATTCGAGAAAGAAATGTGTATTAATTATAGAGGGTGACCAGACTTTACTAAAGACAGTCTGGCCGGCGCGAAACTTGTTTGGCGTCTCGTTTCGGAATGATATTCCATAAGGCGTTACATGGAACTGGCCTAGCATTCTGGATTCTTCGGGCTCTGGCTCTTTAAGATTCCTGGAGCCCAAGGCCCTCAGGGCCTCAAGCTGCGTAAGCCCTGTGATAATAGCGGGTACCTCCGACAAACTGGAAACTTGTGATTATAGAGGATGCATACACTAAACCGAGTGCAACATTAACCCACCATGAACCACAGACCATGAACAACAGGGAGAACCCCAAGCCCAGCATAATTCGGCTAGCAACGGGGGGGGGGAGGGGCGGGCGAGGGTCAATTGCTGAAGAGCTTCCGCCTATGCTGGTGGGGATCTTGGGCTGGAGCCTTATACGTCAGCAATAGGGACGATGACGCTAATAACTTAAAGACGTTCTCAGTGCCGGATCTTGGGCTGGATCCTCATACGTCCGCAATAGGGACGATGACGCAAGTTACTTACAGACGTTCTCAGTGCTTAAGCGCTTCCGCCTATGCTGGCGGGGATCTTGGGCTGGATCCTTATACGTCAACAATAGGGACGATGACGCAAGTTACTTAAAGACGTTCTCAGTGCTTAAGAGCTTCCGCCTATGCTGGTGGGGATCTTGGGCTGGATCCTTATATACGTCAGCAATAGGGACGATGACGCAAGTAACTTACAGACGTTCTCGGTGCTTAAGAGCTTCCGCCTATGCTGGTGGGGATCTTGGGCTGGATCCTTATACGTCAGCAATAGGGACGATGACGCAAGTAACTTACAGACGTTGTCAGTGCTTAAGAGCTTCCGCCTATGCTGGTGGGGATCTTGGGCTGGATCCCTATATACGTCAGCAATAGGGACGATGACGCAAGTTACTTAAAGACGTTCTCAGTGCTTAAGAGCTTCCGCCTATGCTGGTGGGGATCTTGGGCTGGATCATTATACGTCAGCAATAGGGACGATGACGCAAGTAACTTACAGACGTTGTCAGTGCTTAAGAGCTTCCGCCTATGCTGGTGGGGATCTTGGGCTGGATCCTTATATACGTCAGCAATAGGGACGATGACGCAAGTTACTTAAAGACGTTCTCAGTGCTTAAGAGCTTCCGCCTATGCTGGTGGGGATCTAAGAGCTTCCGCTTATGCTGGTGGGGATCTTGGGCTGGATCCTTATACGTCAGCACTGCTTAAGAGCTTCCGCTTATGCTGGTGGGGATCTTGGGCTGGATCCTTATACGTCAGCAATACGGACGATGATGCAAGTAACTTAAAGACGTTCTCAGTGCTTAAGGGCTTCCGCCTATGCTGGTGGGGATCTTGGGCTGGATCTTATGCGTCAGCAATAGGGACGATGACGCAAGTAACTTACAGACGTTCTCAGTGCTGGTCAGTGCTTAAGAGCTTCCGCCTATGCTGGTGGGGATCTTGGGCTGGATCTTTATATGCGTCAACAATAGGGGACGATGACGCTCATAACTCAAAGACATTCTCAGTGCTCTATGGTGGTGGGGATCTTGGGCTGGATTCTTATACGTCAGCAATAGGGACGATGACGCAGATTACTTAAAGACGTTCTCAGTGCTTAAGAGCTTCCGCCTACGCTGGTAGGGATCTTGGGCTGGATCCTTATACGTCAGCAGTGCTTAAGAGCTTCCGCTTATGCTGGTGGGGATCTTGGGCTGGATCCTCATATACGTCAGAGATAGGGACGATGACGCTAAAAACTTAAAGACGTTGTCAGTGCTTAAGAGCATCCGCCTATGCTGGTGGGGATCTTGGGCTGGATCCTTATACGTCAGCAATAGGGACGATGATGCAAATAACTTAAAAACGTTCTCAGTGCTTAAGATCTTCCGCCTATGCTGGTGGGGATCTTGGGCTGGATCCTTACACGTCAGCAATAGGGACGATGACGCAAGTTACTTAAAGACGTTCTCAGTGCTTAAGAGCTTCCGCCTATGCTGGTGGGGATCTTGGGCTGGATCATTATACGTCAGCAATAGGGACGATGACGCAAGTTACTTAGAGACGTTCTCAGTGCTTATACTTCCGCCTATGCTGGTGGGGATCTTGGGCTGGATCCTTGTACGTCAGCAATAGGGACGATGACGCTAATAACTGAAAGACGTTCTGAGTGCTTAAGAGCTTCCGCCTATGCTGGTGGGGATCTTGGGCTGGATCCTTATATGTCAGCAATAGGGACGATGACCCTAATAACTTAAAGACGCTCTCACTGCTTAAGAGAAACCGCTTATGCTGGTGGGGATCTTGGGCTGGATCCTTATTCGTCAGCAATCGGGACGATGATGCAGATAACTTAAAGACGTTCTCAGTGCTTAAGAGCTTCCGCCTATGCTGGTGGGGATCTTGGGCTGGATCATTATACGTCAGCAATAGGGACGATGACGCAAGTAACTCACAGACGTTCTCAGTGCTTAAGAGCTTCCGCTTATACTGGTGGGGATCTTGGGCTGGATCCTTATACGTCAGCAGTGCTTAAGAGCTTCCGCTTATGCTGGTGGGGATCTTGGGCTTGATTCTCACCATGATGGGAGCTCTTTTACATTTGCCACGAAACGCTGCCGGGCAATCTGCGCCCCACGCCATATTATGGCTTTATTAAAGCCCTGGCAACGCCACGGACGACTCACTTCCCTTCCTTCCCGCTACAGGAAGGCTTCGACAGTGTGCGCCGGCAAAGGTGGGTTGCGGGTGTGATGTCCCGCATCCAAAAAAATATTCTCCACGAAGCAACGAGTCGGGCCTGATGTGCTTCTTGATTCCACCGTGCGGCCGTGCGGTGACACCTGGCTTTGTGATAGTTCCGAAATGAGCTCCCCTGAGTTCCAGCCATCATGTGGGATGCTGGCGTGAAGTTGTGAAGCATTCTATTCTTGGACTGAGCTGACAATTGTTGTTTAAGTGTCTCCTTGTCATGTAGGGTGATCCTGAATGTACGCTGTGAACCGTCCGTTACTCCGCTGTATTTCATGTTTTGGATCTGCTAATGAGGGTCAAGCAGAGCCCCAGAACTTTCCCCCGGAACCCTCCCTAAAGCCTAAAACCAAGCTCTAAAACCCCAAGCCCCCACGAGGCTGGCGGCCGCATCCCCACCGCCACCCCGCCAGTGATAAACTCCGGGCTCCTGTGCGCATAGAGGTTCCAGATTTACAGTAGGGTTTAGGGCCTAAAGTTTAGGGGGTTGAGGGCCTCAGGGGGTTTTGCGGAGGTGTTGGGAGTTTCTAAATAAGGGCTTAGAACCGGAGGTGGTATGCGAGATAGTCTTGTGTGTTCCTGCTCGAGTTTGGCAGCCAGATGGAGATGGCAGCATGCAACCAGGGAATGGCCGGTTGCATCTGCTGAGTCTCGAGCATTGACTACATTTCTACGTGAAGTGCATCTTATCGAAACAGGAGCACGTGACTGTGCTGGAGTTTCACTTTGGCAGTCTGTGATGTGGACGATGTGGGCATGGTTGGCCTGAATTTTACAATGTCTTGCCGGGCTTGCCGTCAGGAGTAGTCGCTATAGATTTTGTAGAGTCTGCAGAGTGTGAAGAGGGGTGGGCTTGTCAATGTTTCAGCTCTACGACATTAAGTTGTTGTTGGCATGGAGTGAGCGGGCTCTGCGGCTCAGAACTTGCGAAACATAGTCGGCCCTATGTGTGCCAACATGCTTCAGATCCAGGTTGGTCCACAGGATGGCCTTGAGGAGGTCTTTGTGCGCCAGAGGAGGGGAATCCATGGTTGCTGTGGTTGTGGCCAGCATATCCGGCCAAAGCATCCCCGACGTGTTGTTTTCCTAACACGATTTGTTCACCTTTCCATAGTTTCCACAGGGTCGTCGTACCTGGAACTTACGCACAGGTAACTCCCGCGTGAAGCGACAAGTCATGTGATGCTGCTGCTTGTCAGTTCTCGTCCACACGCGTGCGCTGACATGCAAAAACACACTGCGTCACTGCTCGCCCGCTGTGATGGGAATTAATTCTGTGGGTGTTGATTCTGTAGGCTTCTGCATGAGCTGGCGTAGGTCCTAAAATTCATGCAGGTAGTTGCTCGTGCAAGGGGCCGGATGACGCCGGAATTAGGGTTTCGCGGTTGGGGCGCATCTCCTGCACTCCGAGTTAGACGGGTTCTCAGGGTAGTGCAGGACACACAAAAACCACACAACACCATCAGACCCAAGCCTGTTATCCACCCCCATACTCCACACTTAGGGGTGAACTCAGAAAAGACTGCGCCGCACATCCCTTGCAACCCTCCTTTGTTTCAGCCCAGCCGTATGGTACATCATCTGAAAATCTTCTGTGGTATGCTCTGGGCTTGCTGACAAGCCAACACAGTATAAGCATAGGCCAAACGCCCAAGACCTCGGACACTTCGAGCCACTCGAGCTATGCGGCCACCAAGTGCTGGCCATGCAAGGAAGCCCCAAGCGCCTTGACTCACGGTCGTCTTCGTCCGCGTCCCCAGTCTGCAGCGTGAGACTTTCTCAATAGCTTTACCCAATCATCAAGCAACGACTGGCTGCAGCCCGAAAGCCAAAGTTCGAAAACAAGTCCTCAGAAGTGCTACCACCGAAGTCCGCAGAGCTGCCACTGGAGGTCGGCAAACTCCTGGCAGGGGAAGGAGGAGAGCTTCAATAGTTTGTTCAGGGCTCCGATGCCTTCTTTACTGAGCCTTTCGGAGGCCGGTGTCCGATGGAAGACGGGGCACCTTGGTCATCTTGGCGGGATCCTCGACTCCGACGCCTCCGTGGGCGCTGCGCAGGCCGTCGAGCGAGCAGCCGTGGCCGCCGGACCGCTGTCTTCCAGGCGTGTGCTGGACTCCACTCTGTTGTCTGTGGAGCACTTGCTTGTAAGAGGGGGTGTGTGTGCTCGTATGAAATCCCCTTCTGGCCCCTACTCGTAATGAAGCTTAATTAGAAGTCTGGATTATAAAGCCACACCCCAACAAATCCTCATCAGAGCTTCGTTTGTAATTAGACTTATTTGTTTTAATACAAACCTCAAATTTCGTTTCATTACGAAGCCGGGCCAAAGGAGAATTTCATAGAGTGTGGCCTGTAATATAAAATTCCACATAGGTACTAGCCAATGAGGCTTAGAAGAGGATGTCTTGGGGCGGGGCCTCTTAATTTGTTTGTTTTACTGGGGTTAATTACGAACGAAGCTGTGGCTTTATCATACACAAATCTATTGAGATTTCATTTGAAAGCCCCAGAAGAGGATTCATAGGGTGTGGCTGTTAAACATAGAGTTTGTAAGTACATTTAAATACGAATTGGGGCTCAGCAGATGGTGTAAAGTTCTGTCCCAAAGTTACACACGAACGAAGCCTAGATGAGAACTTCTTAGGGTGGGGGCTTCTTATCTAGAACTAACTTCTTATGAGATTCTGTTACGAACAGGTGGCCTGACTTTTCAATACAAGCATCTCGGCAAATCACCAGACTCTAAGACATCCTCATCTGGACTCCGTTTGTAATTCCGCTTAAGTAGACTTTAAAACTAAGAAGCCACACCTCAAGACATCCTCTTCTAAGCCCCACTCAGAATTAAGTCTAATTAGACTGTTTAATTGCAGGTCCACACCCTCAGAAACACACCCTAAAAAACCCTAATCTGGGCTGCGTTAGTTCTTAAACTCAATTACTTTTTATATTGCATTTTTTTATTCAGACGCCACAGCCCAAAACATCCTCTTCTAAGCCTCATTCGAAATCAAATCTAATGAAACTTTCCATCTTCACGCCACGCCCTACATGCCGAATAGGCTGAATCGAAATTAAAACAAAACGGTGGGTGTGTGTGTGTGTGTGTGTGTGTTTGTTTTTCTCTGTGTGTGTGCGTGCGTGCAAGGAAGTCACATAGAAAGAACAACTTATAACAAATATGTTCCTTAAGGAAAGCTCTTTTTGGCACTGCTTGCCCAAAACTCCAAAATCCAAAAACAACTCAAACCATGAAGCCAGGACACCGCTTTTTGGGACTCTTTGGTTTTCTCGAGGTTTTGTTGGGTTATTGTTTGGAAAAATGCAAAAAAGCCATGTTTTTGTGGATTTTACTCTCCGCGGGGTTGAAAATCAAAAAAAAACACGAGATTTTTGTTTTGGATTTTTGAGTGAAAATCCAAAAAAAACATTCTTTTTGGGTTGTTGAGGCCAGGAGCACCTTAAATAAGAAAAGCGCATGGTTGTTTGTGGACTTTTCAAAATGACCAAACAACCTCGAGAAAACCAAAAACAAAAAAAAAAACAAACGGTGTCCCGGCTTCATGGTTTTGAGCTTTCGGATTTTGGGTTTTTAGGCAAGATGTGCAAAAAAAAGGGTGTTTTGCATGCAATTCTGTGTTTAAAGCTTGTCCTACCCAAATAATTCACACGCATGTTCACGAAATTGCATGTTTGTGCATTTGTTCGGTGTTTTTTTTCTAGGTGATGATGTGTAAATAGTGCGAAACACACGGTTTTTCCACTATTTACAGGTTTCTCTCACACATGATTAGACGTGCAGAAACAGGACTTCGCCAGCATGTCATTTTAATCGGTATTTTCGAGGGTTTTTATATAGGGAAAAAGAAAAACCTAGATCGGGGGGGGGGGGGGGGGGGGGGGGTGACCATGTATATATATATATGTGATGATAAGAAATATTAATATTACCAATCATACCAATAAACTCATCAGCAATAATACCAACAACCAAAGTATTCCTAATAATACTTACTCGAATACTCACAAGAATAAGAAGAGATACCGAAACCCCAAAACCCTAAACCCCAAACCCCAAACCCTAAACCCTAAACCCTAAACCCTAAACCCTAAACCCTAAACCCTAAACCCTAAAGCTGGTGAGGCTGGACAGCTTCGGGCTGACCAAAGATCTACTGGGAGCCCCCAGCGCCGAGAAGCGCGTGGATGCAGAGCACCAGGATTGAGAATTTTTTTGGGTTCAGGGGGTTTTATTGGATTTTTTGGGTTTTTAGGGCTTTTGGGGTTTTATAGGGTGTTTAGGGTTTTTAGGGTTACCGGGTGTGCCCTTTTACGGTGCAGGAGTCCATCTCGTTTGTATCAGTTTCGGCGTAGACTTAAATTTAACTGGCCCCAAGTTTTTTTTTTTTTTTTTTTTTTTTTTTGGGGGGGGGGGGGGGGGGGGGTGGGGGTTAAGAAACGGGGGACCATCACCTAGACAGCAGCCCATATTTTGCTCCTCCGAAAGTCGCTGATATAAGTTCGCGCGCTATCATGTTGCTAGGCTACATCAGCCCCGTGATGTCAAGACCCCCCCCCGAGACTCCGAAGCCCTCGTGCCTTTTGGTCATCCATTCCCCCTCAATCTCCGGGGTAAACAAAAGACAAAAGCACGCATCTGCATGGCCAGTGTTGTGTGGGTCCAAGAAGGCTGTTCTCAAACGATCTTCTGCTGGAAGCCGTGCCTGTGATCAGGACACCAAGATCCACTCCATCAAGGCACCCGTGGATAAGTCAGACGGCTAATGGAAGGTGTGCTGGTAACGTTGTTGTTTGAAAAAGTTGCCTCCAAGTTGCTTCCATGGTCGCAGTTCAGGTCTGTCCAGAGGTCGACTCACTGATCCAACAGCTGGCCACCGGCAAAGGAGAGTTTTTCGACTACGTGGACGATGCCTCGACACAAGAGGCCAGCCCCAAGTGGTCGTAGCCGAGGCGCTTGAACAGTATGGGATAGCTGCGCAGTTGCTTGGACATGGCCGTTTGCTTGGATGTGTCCGTCTGCTGGAGTTCGTTGGTAGTCCCAGGGTGACTTCTAGCCATGAATGCTAGCAAAACGATGGTCCACTAGGATTTCTGCCAGACCTAATTACCAACAAACCCATAGACACCAAGAAAGGCGCCAAATAACCCTCACACAAATCTCTTCTGAGAAGCTCGTAGACACGAGGTCGGCTGTGTCCTTTGTAAGCGGAGCCTGCACGACACGGCGCTCTACGAAGGACGTCATGAATTGAAGGTCTTGTCACTTGCCTTGGAGACTTCAGGAAGCTCTGAAGTAAGAAAGGGGAACACATGTTTGTTGCATGTTGAGGCATGTGGTTCCATTGTTCCGTGCAATATAGGCATCTATTTGTTCTGCATGCCTTTGAAGAACTCTAGTTGGAAACTTCAACAGTCGAGGCCTTGCTTCCACAGCGTCTGCGCTGCGTGCCTTCAGAGTCTGGCAGCCAACAGTGAAGGGGACGCCTTCGACTGCCCGCAGTGCGGCCGTCGGACGCAGAAGATGCTGCGTGGAGAGATTTCATCAAAGTCGGATCGGCGTGGTGGGTAGCATTTGTAGGCAGAGACCCCACTGTTCCAGGCTGTAGGCTCTTTCCCCCCCAAATGCTAGATTGAACATTGCGAACAGCAGCTCGCCCAATCCCAGCCCTTGCCTGCTGTGATACACGAAAAGCCGCACCATCACGGAGAACCACTTCTGACAGGCTTTAGAAGCCTTGAAAATGGTCGTAGACTTGATGCGCGCAGCCAAGGCAAGCGGTGCATCAGTACCTTCCTAACTTTGACCTGCTGCATGCCATCGATAGCCAGAAGGTGGCACAGAGCGACTTCCCCTGCGAGGAGTGCATCACAGGCAACCGCGCCTCGGCCACAGCACCGGAAGTTGGTAGTTTCGGTGCCAGAGTCCCAAATGACTGAGAGTCCATAGGGCTATATTTCAAGCTTTCAAGCTGTCTGCTGCCACCCAGGAGCGGAGTTCTACTGCGAGGATTGCATCATGAATCTTTGTGAAAGCTGCACCTCACAGCGACCTGCCAGCGAAGTCAAGTGTGACGAAGTGCTGCTGGTACTGCATTGCATATTCACAATCGCACTGTTGCGCGTCAACCACGCAGGGCCAGCAACAGGCCGGGCGGCGGCCCTTTTGCAAGGAGTTGTATGAAAGACCTGTCGGGGGGGGGGGGGGGGGGGTGTTTTAACTCATGTAGAATGTTGGGGGGGGTTTGATTCGATTCAGATGGTCTAAAAGGGTTCCGGGTATGCGTGGCGTGCAGCCCAGAAGAAATCTGCAAGAGTTGGGGTGTTGGGGCTTGGCTGCATGACTTTGCCCAGGCATCGCCGAGCGCGGGCATCGACGAACCACGTCCTGGTGAAGCTCGTGGAAAATGTGGAAAATAAGGGCGAGAGCAAGATCTTGCCGGATCAGGCGCAGACTGCTTCGGCACCTGGCTCCTTGTGCAAAAAATCCCCGGCAGTGTCCTGCAGGTCCGGAATATGCACCGAGCACAGTTCTGTGCCATTCACCGAACCAGCCGGTATGACTTGTACTGTTTCTTGGCTGCGGCCGTGCTTTCGAGATGGTGAAAGGGACGATTGCGGCGGATTGTCAGGTGAGGACTGTGAGAAGCTGATTTGCCCGGAGTGCGCAAGAACCTTGGTTAAAGACACTTGAAGGAAAACTCAGAGCTGTCCAATGAGCAAAACTGAGCCAGATGCTCAAGCTGAGGAACAGACCACCAGCAGCACAGGCCTGGCACTTAGTCAGTATCAGAGAGCTGTCTGACAGAGAATGAGTTCGTGTAAGCGAGTGAGAGAGTCTGAGAGAGAGAGAGAGAGAGAGAGAGAGAGAGAGCGAGAGAGAGAGAAAGAGAGAGAGAGAGAGAGAGAGACGCATCTCGGGCGCGTCTGGTGCGCGGGGGGTCTTCCCCTATGCCCTGCAGAAGAAGAAGAAGAGGGGGGCAAGAAGCGAAAGTCTCACTGAAGACCGGATCTCGGGCGCGCCTGTGCGCGAGGGCCCCCGGGCCCTTAAGCCCCGCAGAAGAAGAAGAAGAGAGGGAGAGCAGATCCGGTCCAATTTGCTGTGAAAGGTACAAGATTCCTTCGCCTTCCTTGTTCGAGTGCCTTGGCTCTCCCCTCGCTAGGCCCATTCTCCGTTTCCCTTTGTCAGAACGGTGTCCCAACTTGCGGCACCCTGAACCCTAAACCCTAAACCCCAAAAACTCCAAACTCCAAACCCCAAACCCCAAACCCCAAACCCTAAACCCTAAACCCTACACACCGTGTTGTGGTATGCTGAGGGAGCACCGGCAGCGCGTCCGAGACATCATCGAGATGCTGTGCAATCAGCTCCTGGACGATCAAGCCTTGCTCAAGGTCATGAACCAGAGCACCTATGGTCTGCATAAAGAGAAGGCAGGGTTTAGGGTTTAGGGTTTAGGGTTTTAGGGTTTAGGGTTTAGGGTTTAGGGTTTAGGGTTTAGGGTTTAGGGATCTACTATTAGTTTCTTTCTCTCTTAGGCTTGAGCTTCGGTACACTATAGAGTAACATTGTTGCTCAGGCTGGGAATCGTCGGAACTGGCCTGCATGCAGGCCCGGGTACCTCGAGCACACGATGAGACCTGCAGAACATAATATGGCACCGTGGCACCCCCTTTTCCCCAGGCCAGGGCCAACATCGCCGCGGCCTTCGACGAACTCCAGCAGGCTGCCGAGGAGCGCAGCGCCGAGCTGGCCCAGCAGATGCAGGAGAAGAGCCGCCCGGACCTGTAGGGAACATAGGGGATATCATAGGCACGCATTCAGAAGTCGTGATCGAGAGGCCTCACCTTCTTGCCATGCTCAAATACTGTGGTTGGGATACTGTTGGGATTATAGGGGACTGGATAGGGTACAGGACTCTAGGAAGAGTTCTATCAGATGCCGTGGCAGGCCGGGAGCGCATGCGCGTTCTGGAGGAGGAGAAGGTTCGATGTTCCACTGCCTTGGCAGACATTCTGCGAATTATTGACTTTGTGGAGAAGGCCCCATGGGATTCGGAAGGTTTGGTGCGTGAGGCGACTGTTGTGACTGCGGTGACTGTAGTGACGGTAGTGACGGTAGTGACTGTAGTGACTGTAGTGCCTGTAGTGCCTGTGTGTGCGGAAGGTGAACCAGCTCCTTGGCCGCGAATTGAGGTAGACCCACTCGGAAGCTCTGCAGCTTGGGAGCCCTACCACTCATTTTCCCGCAAGTACTATGCTGGGTCCACCAAGTGGTTGCTGGATCCTTCAGTGGACTGAGGCATGGCACCGATGTGGAGGTTCTCTTGGCTAAGAGCCACCTGTCTCGCGAGCAGATCATCACGCAGAAGGTGCAGGCTCCTTGGTCACTGGAAGAGTTTATTCAACTAAGGTTGCTCTAGGGGCCGTGGCTTCTAAAGGGTCGCGACAGGAGTTGATTCAACGAAGGGGGAGTGTTGCTGGTTGAACTTTTTGCTTTAATTCCGATTTGCCAGGAGTGGAGCCGGCTCTGCCAAGATGCCCCGCCGGGCTTCGAAAGCAGTCTCGCGGCCCCGGCCTTATTAAGATGGTGTGGGGGCCATCCTTCGGACTTGTAAGGGCTGTGTGTGTGGTTGAAGCTTTCTTCGCCGCCGCCGCAGCATGCTGAGCCTCTTTTTACGGATTTCCGTTAGGGAGCGTCGACCTGCTGTTGCAGGAGGCTGGTTGGTCTTCCAGTGCTGAGGCGTGGATTCGGGAAGGGAGAGTGCATTGGATAGGTCCTCCAGCACCCCAAGCCTTGAAAAGCCCCACACTCTCGGGGGATGCAGAGCCCTGCGCAAGGCAGACGCCATGCTGCAGTCCCTCGCCTCCTTCGGCTCCGTGGTCGTCTCCCCGCCCCTTGCACGCCCATGTGGCAGTAGCTGAATTCGATGAGAAGTACACTTTCAGGAAGAGGGGGCACGATGGGCGAAAGCGACCTGGGGTCAGACATTCCTAGCCCAGGCTCAAAAGAGGATTTCGTGCTCTTCTTTCACCTGAGAATAAACAGCTAGACACCAAATCTCAATATTGGGTTTACGTATTAGGTGATGGCCTGTACTGGTACCTTGCGATCAAATTCAAAAGTCGAAGCACCGAAGCACCGAAGCTCCGAAGAAGCTGCGGCGAGGTCTGTTTATGAGCCCGGCTACACGGGTGGTCCACTGAAGATCACCGATGGGATCCTCGGCATGAGGGAAGTGGTATCTGTATGGCTTGGAAGGCTACATGGCTGCACAGTTCCCCCACAAAGTTGAATTCCAGGAAGAAGTGGGCCGATCTCTTTGAGGAAGCAGAGGAAGCGCCGCAGGCCATCGTGCAGGTGGGACCCTGCTCGCATTCGGCTGAAGCTTGGGGTTTTTCACTTCCTCGGTGCCAGGAGTCCTCTGCCGTGGAGGTCGAAGCACCGGGGGAGGAGCCGCACTCCGAGGCTTAGAAGCAACGTCAAAATGCAGCCAGGGGGCACCACCTGAGTGTAGCTCCGGTACCAAAAGCTGCCCGAGCCGCAGCATGTGATGGGTCAGGCGGAAGCGGACGAGGGCGCTGATACTGCACTTCGGCCTGCATACATTTAATACTTCCTTGCTGGAGCCTCGGGCTTACACTGATGCAGCTGGTTGATGTAGCCACTGTTAGCCACGACATCCCACGTGGCAGCAGTTCTGCAGCATCAGTGCAAGAAAATGTCTTGCATCACGGATTGCTCGCCGGGCGCGGTGGCACGGCACACGCTTTTCTGCCCAACCGTTCCTTTGCTTCCCTAGCTTTCGATTCACCCGAAAACATCGCGAGGGAAAGATCCAAGCTAGAAAAGCTGGAGATTTCCAGAATGCGCAACACAGCAAAAGCGTCAGCTACGTTTTATCCTTTTGGTTGCATTTTGCTATTTTTATATTGGTCTTATACGTATATATGCTTGTAGTCTGATCTTCTTCTATATCAATCTTACATTGTTGCATATTCTGGGAAACTGGAGGCAACTGCACATCGCCGGCGCCGGCGACGCCCGCGCCGGAAGAAGACCCCGGAGAAGCGGACGCCCTCCAACGAGCCGGCCAGAGGGGAAGGGAGTTTAGGGAAAAGGGTTTAGGGTGTAGAGATGTGTGAAACGTTTCTATCCTGCACTTAGACTTAGACATTGGTACTTTGGAAAGTTGGAGGAGGCCCGGGCTTTAGAGGGTGCCATACAGCGGATCGCAAGCAGAACCAGCAACGCCGGTGCTTCTCTGGGAGGCATGGGTGGAATGCAGCAAGCCCACGGAGGCAGAGATTACGCCGCTTGGGGGCATTATTCGGTGCGCGGTCGAGCTTCTCAAGCAGAACCGTGTGACAAGCAGAACTGTGTGATCCGCTGATCCAGACACGCGAAGAAGGCGAGCACGAGCTGACATCGAGATGGAGCCGCAGAAGGTGACCTTGGAAGATGCCTCCGACCAGGAGGCTCCTCCAGCAACCCTACATCACACAGTGGCCTTCTGGACCCTCTATGGCATGCATCGAGAAGCCCCTAAACCCCGTAACTCCTCCGTATAAGGAAAGCCGCAGACCCTCTAAAGTGCAACCCTGCCAAACTACAATGAAGATTCTTTATTGCAAATTTGAGGCCCCTATGAGGGACCTATCTGATTATTTGAAAGGTTATCCCCCGGTCCGGCATATAGTATTAAGAGTGGCAGGACTGGCAACCGTTGAGACCATGTTGAAGAATCTTTTATGTGAGTGTCTAGGTTTTCTGTCCACTTCTGCCTTGTGAGTTTTCTGTGAGTCGAAATCTGTAGAAGACCCCTATAACAGGACCCCCCCCCCCCACAAAAGAAAGACACATACACAGATATTTTTTTTCTATATACAGAAGTAAAAAGGGGGGATCCCTAAGTTCCCCCGGAGACCTGGCCGTTTCAAGGTGGCCGAGGAACTCCCCGATGCGCCCGATGCGCGGCGCCGCCGCCGAAGGCGGCGGCTTCGGGGAAACACAGGGGGGTTGAGGGTTTAGGGTTTAGGTTCAACCTCCAAAGTCCGTTGCTCAAAAAAGGTTGTACCCTAAAGAACTTTGTCAACCCCTTGTGCCCCTTGTTAGGGTTAGAGGCTTTCAAGTTGCTTCTAAACCTTGCATACTCCTTAGAACCCCGTTTAGGGTTCGCAGGTAAGAGGTTGTAGGGTTTAGATCAGAGCCCTTAAGAGCCCTTACACTTGCAGGGAGGCAAGAGGGGGGATTGAGTTGCCGCCTTCGTCGAGGCGGCCCCGCGGCCGCGGTGGGAAGCAGAAGCTGGGAGTGCAGGAGGCGCGGAGGTGGATATGGGGGGCATGTCTGAAGGTTCGAGGGGTCGCCGTTTTGGGGGTCAATTTGAGAGGGGATTCTGCGACAATTTTGGGGTACAAAGAGGGACAAGTTGCTCTGAGTATCTACGGATTTGCATGGGTAATTCAAAAGGGTGGACGACTCTTGGACTCGTGGACTGCTCAGACAGGATGCGGCCACAGAGATTGCGGAAAGGTCCTGAGCGTTTTCCATTTCGACTGTGATTTACATAAGTGGCACTTCAGTGCGCTGTCCGTCCGGACATGTTAAAGCACACAACCTGTCTCACCTTGTTTGGGGATGCTGCAGTGCATGGCACTTCGGCATCCGTCCATCTGTCCATCTGGGTGGATTTTATTGAGATCTTTATCAACCTAGAAAAACCATTTCAGCACCGAGCGCTTGGTCGAAAAGCTGCTGTGTTGATCCGCTTATGTATAATATATAATATATAATACATAGTATTGATGTATGTATGTATGTATGTATGTATGTATGTATGTATGTATGTATGTATGTATGTATGTATGTATGTGTGTATGTGTGTATGTGTGTATGTGTGTATGTGTGTATGTGTGTATGTGTGTATGTGTGTATGTGTGTATGTGTGTATGTGTGTATGTGTGTATGCACGTATGTATGTATGTATGTATGTATGTATGTATGTATGTATGTATGTATGTATGTATGTATGTATACATATGCACATATATATATATATACACACATATTTCTTTAGCTGCGCTGGTAGCTGATCGTGGTGGTTTGAGAGCGCCTCCCGTGCAGCCTTGCATATCCTGAGTCCTTAAGATCGATTTTATCTTAGCGGGGCGGGGGGGGGGGGGGGGGGCGTTGAGATCTCGACAGAAAATTTTATCCTAGGGCGGGGGCTGGGTGGTGCTATACGCCTAAATCGGCAAGGGCCCATCTAACTCAACTTAGGATGTGCTTGTCGTCAAGAGATTCTGCCAAGTATCACGAGTGCTCAAAACTTGCTGTCCCAAGTTCATGCTGTGCAGCGTGATTGGTTCGCGGAAGCCGCAAAGCCCGGCTG